ATTTTGAATTTTAATGCTATCTTCCAAAGCACTCGCAACCCTCCCTGCTTTGTATCATCCAATAATATTATTAATGTTCTCTCCATGCCGTTATCTAAGTCATTAATGAAAATATTGAACAGAACCAATCCCAGAAACTAATTCTTGCAGAACTCCACTCATTATTCTCTTCCAGCATGACCCCATGAACCATTGATAATTACTCTGGGAATGATTATCCAGTTATGCATCCACCTTATAGTAGCTTCATCTAGACTGTATTGTCCTAGTTTATGCACAATGTTACACGCAAATGAAAGCTACAAAAGACTATTTGTTGGCCTTGAGATTGATGGTGGACATTGCAGCCTCATTTTGTCCATCAAAACATTATACATTGTCCCAGTCTCATTTCAATATCCTTATTTTGTCGCGTGACATTTGCACAACTATGCAATAACTCTGAGCCCATAGACAAGAGAGTCATATGCAGCATCATGACATGGCAATGTGCTGCATGAGCATGATACTACACTATGGCTGTGTCTACACTGGGCCACTTATTCCGGAAAATCAGCCGCTTTTCCGGAATAAGCTGTGAGCTGTCTACACTGGCCCTTGAATTTCCGGAAAAGCAACGATGCTTTACTGTACAAAATCAGCCGCTATTCCAGAAAAACTATTCTGCTCCCGCTCGGGCATAAGTCCTTATTCCGGAACACTGTTCCGGAAAAGGGCCAGTGTAGACAGCCCAGTAGTCTTTTCCGGAAAAAAGCCCCGATTGCGAAAATGGCGATTGGGGCTCTTTTCCGGAAAAGCGCATCTACATTGGCCACAAACGCTTTTCCGGAAAAAGGGCTTTTCCAGAAAAGCAGCCTGCCAATGTAGACGCTCCTTTTCCAGAAAAACTGAAAACGGAATAGTATTCCGTTTTAAGCATTTCCGGAAATTCATGCCAGTGTAGACACAGCCACCAATTGTAGTGCACTAGCCAAAGGTAGCCTTTCCTCAAGGGTTTGCTAGGGCCCGAATGGTGAGAGCGTGTCAATTATAACAATACATAATTAAACAAAAAGGATACATGTTTCTATGGAGTTCAGTTGCTGGCACCATTCTAAGCACCTCATAAAACTGCTAAGACTCTGTTGCCAGTGACAACAAACCTATCATGAAAACAACAAGAGACAAAGATGGAAGCTTCACTGCCTAGTCTGTCAAGGTATAAGCCAGCAGCAGTTTTGCCTGACTAAATACTACAGGGTTTGGTCCTATTATGGGCGACCTTCTCTACCCTGCTCTCATGCCAGTCTCTGTTTGTGGCTGTGACAGAATAAAGGAGCCAAATATCCTGGAGCAGGCACCGCATACAATAGCTGTTGGCTGCCCTGGGCAGTTGTCCTGGCAAACAAACAAAGTATGGGGGATAGTAATAGAAATGTAGCCGTGTTAGTCTGGTGTAGCTGAAGCAAAATACAGGACTATGTAGCACTTTAAAGACTAACAAGATGGTTTATTAGATGATGAGCTTTCGTGGGACAGACCCACTTCCTCAGATCAAGTAGTGGAAGAGTATGGGGGGAGAGACTAGGTTTGGGTAGGGTCTGGAGCTATAGTGCATTTTTGTATGCCCATTCTGAGCAGCACCTCTTGTTTTTGGAGCCAGAGGCAGCCCGAGCTAGGCTGTCTTGATTTAGGGGGACTGTGAGTGCCCTGAGTGATGCTCTGGGACACGTAGGCTTAAAACACTTTTGTCCCCCTTCCCAGTGGGCCATATCTATTTATTCTCACATCACCCATTACATATAGTTGACACTGTCAATTATGGGCAGAGAAAAAGATGGTAAGGCATCAGAAGCCCTGGATACCTTGTTTTATCCATAGAACGGAGACATTTCCCATCCTGCCAGGCCTCAGCTGTGACAGGGCAAGACCTCTCTGAGTAAGAAGGAATGTCACTTTCCATGCCCTGGAGGAGCAGGCTGCTAGGCTCCCACTCTGATGGGAGATTTTGCAATAGGACATCAGCCAACTGGGATGTGGATTGAGATCCCATTTCACACTAAGTCAGCAGCCAGACTGATAACAGTTCCTAGACCAGGGGTAGGCAATAATTTTTGATGGGGAGGGCACTCCAAGAATTTGGAAAGTGGTCAAGGACTGCACTCTTTCATGATATTAATGGAGGAGGTGTGGGGTCTGGGATGGAGGTTGGGTGCAGAAGGGAGCTTGGGGTAAGGGAAGGGAGTTTGGATGAAGGAGGCTGTTGTGACCTGGGGCACTGGACTAGGATGAAGGGGGTTGGATTGTGACATAGGGCAGGGAATTGGGGTACAGGAGGAGGTGCAGGGGTTTGGGTTGTGAGGTAAGGAAGGAGGGGACTGTGATCTGGGGCAGGGGATTGGGGTGCCAGATCTAGGAAGGGGTATGGGTTCAGATGATTTGGGTATGTGAAGTAGGGGGGGCAGAGGTTTGCAGAAGGGGCTGGGGTGCCAGAGGCAGGCTTTGCCCAGGGGACTTACCAGCCAACAGCCTGTTTCTGAATCAGGCTCTCTGACTGCCCAGGCTCTGCACAGGCTGCAGCCATGTGCTCTGTGAATAACTACAAGCCTCTTTTGCTTCATGACTGCCTGTTATTGAAACAGGCAGCTCTCATTGGCCTGTTTCTAACCAGAAGCCAACCAATGGGATTATGCTGGGGGTAGGAGCATCTCCTAAAGCTTTCTTCCCTCCCGTCCGGGCTCAGCTTTTCAAGTGAAACTGCCCCGCAGCCACGTTTCTGAGAAGTATGTGCGTGGGGCAATGCAAGCAGGGAGCCTGCCTGGGGCTCTCCACAGCATCCCTGGGGCCAGATTTGGTCCACAGGCTATGTTTTTCCCAAGCCTGTTCTAGACCTAAACTGGATTCAACTCTATGACCAAGGTGTGAGACTCCATTACACATAGGCTGTGTCTACATTGGCACCCCTTTCCAGAAAAGGGAAGCTAATGTAGACTTCGGAATTGCAAATTCCGCGGGGGATTTAAATATCCCCCGCAGCATTTGCATTTACATGGCTGCCGCTTTTTTCCGGTTTGGGGATAAGCCGGAGAAAAACACCAGTCTAGACGTGATTCTCCGGAAAATAAGCCCTTTTCCAGAGGATTTCTTATTCCTACTTTCAATGAGTTACTTTCAAGTAGGAATAAGAAATCCTCCGGAAAAGGGCTTATTTTCCGGAGAATCATGTCTAGACTGGCGCTTTTCTCCGGCTTATCCCCAAGTCAGAAAAAAGTGGCAGCCATGTAAATGCAAATGCCGCGGGGGATATTTAAATCCCCCGCGGAATTTGCAATTCCAAAGTCTACATTCGCATCCCTTTTCCAGAAAGGGGTGCCAATGTAGACACAGCCATAGTGGTTACATATTCCATATAGAAAGACAATGATGTAACTCCAACTTAATGATTTAGACCATTGGAAAATAAGACAATAATTTCTCCACAACCAAGAGCACAGTGCATCTCACCTTAGGAACATACTGCAGTTGAACTGAGCAGAAAATGGCAGCTGCCTCCAGCAGACTCAAATATAAAGATACAAGAAACAGAAAACAAAGTCATAACATTTCCAAACAATAGCTATATAAACCGCACTTTGCAGCACCGTGAAGTATTTGATTCCCTAAAGTAAGAGTGTAGTCTTAATGTTGGCTTGTAATGGGAAGAGCTCAGTTCAGACATACAGTCAAATGCCATAGAAAACTGAAGTAAAGGTCCATTGACTTCATCTACTTTTTAATATTCAGCAGAGGCAGCAGCAAGGGATTATCCACAGAAAATAAAGGATCAGAGCTCATACCAGCTATGAAAGTATCTGCAACACAAGCCCAATCCTGTCTCACACAAATGATGACAAAACTGATAAGCACATTTTCTCCTTACAGTCAGAATTTATAAGTTGAAGTGGTTGTTATAACAGAAAAGTAAATGATCCCCTAATACTCAGATCAATCTTGTGAGAAATAACCTGAATAATGAGTTACAATTGCAAGAGATGAAATTAAGACAAGAACAGTTAAATAGGAATCTAAAGTAACAGATAACATTTAGCATGATGTTTGGAGCTGAAATTGGGCTTTAAATGTATGCAGAGTTAGAGAGAAAGGGAGAAAATAAGGAATTGGAACAACGTCTTCAGATAAAGGGGAGCCTTTTGATGAGGAATAATCAAAAGCAATTTCATACTGACAATGTTTGAGAAACATGGGGAAAGTCCCTTCAAAAAGCATTTTTTATGCAAATACCTTTGAGAGCTTAGGAGACATAACAGGATCTCAATTTGAAATAATATATAGCCCCAAAATTATTCTAACGCAGAGCAGTTTTTTGCAGATATGCTTGGAAATAGCTTCCAAATTGAGACTATCATTGGCATAGTCTCATTTTAGAGACTGTCCCAATGATATCTTTGAGCCCTCACAATCATTAGTGGATTTTATTCTCACAACACCACAATGTAACAGAAATATTAGGCCCATTTTACAGCCAAGTCACTTGCTTCAGGTCAGTTGAGGTGACAGTGACTGAACTGTGACTTGAAGTGAGGAGTCCTGCAGCTTAAGCTAGTGCTTATCATAGAATTATTCTTATTCCTAGCATTGGAGCCAGGTTTTGCATATATTCAAACAGTTACGCACAGCCCATTACAGACAAAGGCACTAAGGGCCTCATTCTCCATTCCAGTTTGGCAGCATTTTCCACTCACTGTGCATAGGTGTAATTGAAGGTGTAAGTCAGAATCAGATGGGATGAGTTGGAAGCCATACAGATTTCGTAGCTATAGAATAGCGTTGAACAGTGTTTCAAAGGGGGGTTGCGTCAGTCTCAAGGGAAACCAAGAAACATCTATTGCCTGGGACATTAAAGCAGTGGCATAGTAGAGAGTGGAAATTTGGGTGGGCTCCGACTTTCAGGTGGATGAGCAATGACAAACGGTGCTAGCTCAGCTTTCT